GCAAAAACAAAAACAACTCTCTAGATAGTTCCAGCAAAATGCCCATGGACTGCCTGATAGAACTTGTGTGAGTCATTTCTGAACCAACCACTGTGGCCAGGGCCATGAAATAACTTACTTGGCCAAACCTGGGCCATAAGCCCACCCATCATGTTGAGAGGTGAGAATAACCCACCCCAGCCACAGGAACTGAGCATGGGGTAGGGATGGAGCCCTAAGAAATTCTTGGGAGGCAAAAAGCAAATGTTCATTATTCCCTGAAAAATGGAAAAATAGGTTTATGTTGCCCTGACACTTTGTTGATAGTTTAGCTGAACATAAAAGTATAGGTTTATGATAATTCTTTTTGAAAATATTGAAAGCAACATTACATTGTTTTATTTCTTCTTAAAATTTTATCATAAAAAATTTCAAAGTAAAAGTTTAAAGAATTTATAGTGAACACCTATATACCTACAACCTAAGTTTACAAATAAAATTACGTTTGTTTTACCAAACATCTAACCATCATCTATCTATCCCTCTATTCATCTGTTGACCCATCTTTTTTATGTATTTCAAAATAAATTGCAGTTATCACTACACTTTACTCTCAAGTACTTCAGCATGCATACCATTACTTAGAATTCAGTATTTGTTTATAATTGTTTTAAGGTAAAATTTGTGCATAAAGGCCAGGCAGCGGCTCACGCCTGTAATCCCAGCACTTTGGGAGGCTGAGGCAGGTGGATCACGAGGTCAAGAGATAGAGACCATCCTGGTCAATATGGTGAAACTCCGTCTCTACTAAAAATACAAAAAATTAGCTGGGCATGGTGGCGCATGCCTGTAATCCCAGCTACTCAGGAGGCTGAGGCAGAAGAACTGCCTGAACCCTGGAGGCAGAGGTTGCGGTGAGCAGAGATTGCACCATTGCACTCCAGCCTGGATAACAAGAGCGAAACTCCGTCTCAAAAAAAAAAAAAAATTTGTACATAAAATACACAAATATTAAATGTACCATTCCATGAGTTCTGACATTGCAACTTAAATCCATATCAAGATACAGAACATTAGATGTTCCCTTATGTTTCTTTCTAGTAAATCCCTGCACCTATCCCATGGTGTGTCTTCATGAGGATGAATTCTTATAACATTTTTTTTTTTTTTGAGACAGGGTCTTGCTCTGTTGCCCAGACTAGAGTGCAGTGGCACGATCTCAGCTCACTGCACCCTCCACCTCCTGGATTCAAGTGACTCTTGTGCCTCAGCCTCCCAAGTATCTGGGATTATAGACACCTGCCACCATGCTCAGCTAAGTTTTGTATTTTTGGTAGAGACAGGGTTTTACCATGTTGGCCAGGCTGGTCTCGAACTCCTGACTTCAAGTGGCCTCCCAAACATCCAATCTTTTCTATATCGTTCTTTTATTCCGCACACTTTTGAGATTCGTCCATGTTGTAGTCTGTATCCATTTCACTGCATGACTATACCACGGGTTATTTACCCGTTCTCCCACTGATGGACACAAGGGCTGTTTCCAGTTTTCAGCTATTAAGAATAAGGCTGCTATAAACATTCTTGTACACATCTTTTTGTAGACACAGTTTTCATTTCTCTTGAATAAATACCTAGGAGTGAAGTTGGTGAGTCAACAGGGTAGGAGTGAATTTCATTCCATAAGGAACTTTTAGATCTTTTTTCATGTGGCTGTACCATTTTATTTGTTCATTTAAGAAAGGGTCTTGCTCCATCACCAAGGCTGGAGTGCAGTGTTGTGATCATAGCTCACTGCAGCCTCAACTTCTCAGGCTCAAGCGATCTTCACATGTCAGCCTCCTGAGTTGCTAGGACCACAGGCATGCACCACCATGCTGGGCTAATTTTTAAATTTTTTTGTAGAGATGAGGTCTTGCAATGTTGCCAGGCTGAGGCTGTACCATTTGATAGCCTATCCATAATATATGAGAATTCTGGTTGCTCTACATCCTTGCTAATATTTGATGCTGTCAGTCTTTTAAATTTTATCCATGTTGATGAGTATATAGTGGTATTTCATTTTTATTTCTGTTTTCATTTCCCTGATATTAAATAATTTTGAGCACTTTTTGTGCCATTTGTATAACTTTTTGGGGGTGTATTAGTCTGTTTTCACATTGCTAATAAAGACATACCCAAAACTGGGTAATTTATAAAAGAAAGAGGTTTAATGGGCTCACAGTTCCATATGGCTGGGAAGGCTTCACAATCATGGCAGAAGGCAAGGAGGAGCAAGTAACGTCTTACATGGATGACAGCAGGCAAAGAGAGAGAACTTGTGCAGGGAAACTCCTCTTTATAAAACCATCAGCTTTCTTGAGACTTATTCACTATCACGAGAACAGCACAGGAAAGAACTGTGCCCATGATTCAAGTACCTCTGACTGGGTCCCACCCATGATGCATGGCAATTGTGGAAGCTACAATTCAAAATCAGATTTGGGGAGGGACACAGGCAAACCATATCGGGGGTGTATGATTAAACTTTAACTCATTTTTAAAAGTTGATTGTTTATCTTTTTATTAATAAGTTGCAGGGATTCTTTATACATTCTGAATTCTAATCCTTTGTCAAATATATGTTTTAAAGAATATTTTTTCCAAGTTGTGACTTGCCTATTTATTTTCTTAACAATGTTTTTGATAAACAAATGTTTTAAAATGTAATGATTTTGATTTGTCAATTCTTTCTACAAAGGTTTTGCTTTTAGTGTCTTACCTAAGAAACTCTGCCTACCCTCAAGTCATGAAAATATTTTCCTGTGTTTTCTTCTGTCTTTTGCATTAGCTACTAGATTTAGGTCCAAGATTCATCAATTTTTGTGCATAATGTGATGTAGTGGTTAAGATCCCCCACCCCTCCCCACCCAATATGTATACCCAGTTGTTCTAGCACTATTGATTGAAAAGATACTATTGTTTTCTAATATCTAATAATCGTAGATAGCCTGTTGTCAGTCTGATTCTCATTCCCTTGTAGGTGACCTATTTGTCTTTGTTCTGGGTGCCTTCTGAATCTTATCTTTTTTCCTAGTTCATCTACTACTATCATGTTTGTCTTTCAGTATGCCCTTTCAATCTGAAGATTCATGGGTATATCAGCTTTGGCATATTTTCTTCAATGATTTCTGCAGTAACTTCTATTCTTGCATATTCTCTGGGTTTTCTTTCTGGAACTCCTATTAGTTAGAGCTTGAACTGGGATTAGACCTCTAGGAGTTTTATGTTTTCTAGTTTTTTTTCTCCTTTTTACTAATGTCACATTTTGACCAATTTTGAAGTGTGACAAGCTTATTAATTTCCAGGTGCTCTCCCGTGTTCTCCATTGTGCTTTTTTGTAACATCTCATTGTGATTTCACGTATTAATTGTCTTCTAAACTACCTCTGAGAATACTAACTAGAGGCTTAAACAATTTTTTTGCTGTTCCCCAAATTGTTTTTTGTGTAGTCAGCCTTTATTTTTGCTTCTTCTAGTTTTTGAAATTGCTTCTAGCTGATTTTCTTCATGTTTCCAGTGATTTGAGGGTACTTTTTTATGTTAAAAAGAGAAAGAGGAAATTAGCTGATTTTCCTGTGTGTTTCCTCTATTATTATATACAAAGCTGTTTTCCTGCTAGTTAACTGTCCAGAAAATGGAAGAGGCTGACAGGAAGTTCAGCTTTTTGTTTTTTGTTTTTGAGATGTAGTCTTGCTACATTGCCCAGGCTGGAGTGCAGTGGTATAATCTTGGCTCACTGCAACCTCCACCTGCCAGGTTCAAGTGATTCTTCTGCCTCAGCCTCTAGAGTAGCTGGGACTACAGGTGCTGGCCACCACACCTGGCTAATTTTTGTATTTTTAGTTGAGACAGTGTTTTGGCATTTTGGCCAGACTGGTTTCAAACTCCTGACCTCAGGTGATACATCCGCCTCAGACTCCCAAAGTGCTGGGATTGCAGGCATGAGCCACCAAGCTCAGCATGACAGGAAATTTTATCAGCTGAGTAGAAAGTGCTGAAGGGATTCCCTTTAGGATACACGGACAGGGAGCCAAGAAAGAGGGCTTTAACTGGGGTGCAACTACCTGCATCAGTTTATGAGCATTTAGTTAAAAATTATTGTCTACTAACTGTCTTTCTCCCATTCTCTTAGGTGTTCTGGTTTTGTTCACTTGAAAATTATTTATTACTCTTTTTAATTGTGTATTGGGAGAGAGGGAGACCAAAGAGTGTGTTCAGGCTGCCATCTTGAACCACAGCTTCATGCTATCTTTTCTCAAGTATCTTCTGCTCTTTCTAAATGTGTATCTTCCATTGTTTTTAGTGTAATATCTTTACCATCTCATGAATACACCAAGGTAATATCCACCTTTATGCCCTCAGTTATTATGTTTCCTTTTCAGAAATTTCATTCTTCTCTTCCCTCTCTTCTTCCACTTAAATCTAGTAAAATTCTTACCAACTTTCAAAGCTTAACTTGACCACACTTCCTTTGTGAATCGTTTAACCCAGCTTTCATTGGGTTAAATTCATTTCATTTTCCTACCTATGTTACTATTACTTTGCTCAATGCCTGTCGTTCACAGTTCAGTTCTTAATTATACAGCCGAGTATTACTGACTCTTTTTAGATGTTTATTATTATTTTGGTAACTACTCAAAACTCCTTGGGAACAAGTGTTTATTTTTCACTAGCCTTCAAAACACACAGCACAGTGTGATTATATAGTGGGTATTCAACAAAGATTCGTAATTGATTAACTTCTCTATTTGCATTAGAGGAGGTAGATAACTGCTTGTATTTCTTTTTTCTGGAAACAGTAGGAAGACTGTCTTTGAATTGGAAGCCGAACAGTGAAGGTCCATTTCAGGCATAAAGAAAATTGCTAATTATTCTACACTAAGAAACAACTTAAGTTTCATAGCATAAATATTATTTGCTGAAAGCAATGACAATAGAAAGATCCAGTAGGGCAAGAGTGGTTTGGAGAAAAGCAAAAGCCAAATGTGACTAAAAATAGACTTTATAGTCTGGCGTTTCCACAGTGAGTGAGTTTTCCCGACGTTGCTAATGTTGTCATCTTCAACTAAAGGTTTAGAGGTAAAACAAGAGCAAAAGAATTGGAAATAGTATGCTTCTAGTATTCATATCAGCAAATATAGCTGCTTCTCCGTCTCTTTGGGCACTTGGGAGGTTTGTATTGGTATTTCCTTGATCTCATGTGACTTGCTTTGGCAAAAGAAATTAGAGTGAAATTGGTATCACTTCCAGCTGGAAGCTTATAAGCCAACGTGGGATTTGTCATGTCTCTGTTTTCTGCCTCAGGGATCGTGGAAATATGTGATTCTCCATAATTCTGAACTCCTGAAGACCTATCACGGATTGTGAGTGAATAACAAAGCTTTGTTGTTTAAGCCACTGAGATTTTTGGGGGTTTTATTTTAGAATGATCTAGTCCAAGGCAACCTGCAGGCAGGCTGCCTTTTTTTTTTTTTTAAGTTTTGTTGAAACACAGGCACATGCTTTTGTTTATGTATTATCTATGGCGACTTCCATGCTACAGCCGAGTTGAGTATTTGAAAGAGACTGTACAGGCTGCAATCCAAAAATACTTATGTTTACCATTTAAGAAAGTTTACTGACCTCTGACCTAGTCTGTGCTGACTACAATAGACCTAGAGGTCTCTGGTAAATGTCTTTAGATGGCTACTTTCTATGTCGTACACAAAACAAAAGATGTTGACAGTAGCCAGTGTCTAAGATGGCTTTAGTGATCCCTGCCTCTTGATATTCACACTCTTGTGCAGTCCCTTCCCACACTGAGTAGGGCTGACTTCCTTCCTCAGTAAGGAAATGATAGAGTATTGCTTCTTTGCCTAGGTCATCAAAGATATTGTGGCTTCCAGCTTCCTCTTTCTGAGATCGCTTACTCAGAAGGAAGCCAGCTACCATGTTGTGAGGATACTTAAAAAGCCCACATGGTGAGAAACTGAGGCCTCCTGCCAACAGTCACATGAGTTGAACCTTCAGATGACTGGTACTTTGGCCAAAATCTTGACTGCAACCTCATGAAAGACTCTGAGGCCAAATTGTAAAGCTGCTCCCAAATTCCTGATCCACATCAATATGAGATAATAAATTTTTGTTATTTTTAAGAGGCAAAATTTTAGGGCAGTTTGTTTCAAATTGATAACATGAAGTGTTCAAATGAAAAAGTATACTGGTGCCCTGTATACTTATGTATGTATATATTGCACATAGGCTTATATATATGCAAACATATATTATTACTGAACAAAGAATTCGTGGATGTTCAAAATTGCAGTATACTTGTATGATTTTAGTAAGTGGAATTACCTTATCTGTGGAAGAAATTATTATATATGTATATATCTTTCCCATTCCTTTTCCACACTTAATCTCTGTGGAATAGAGGGTGGAATGTGTTCTGGGAATGGAGGAAAAAATTTCTAAAATATTTAAATTTTTTTGATATGCTAACTGCTCAAATTCACCTTAAGTTCTTTGTGTGTGGGAATGGGGTAGGAAGAGTGGCCTAAGGATGATGATGGATTTATGACGGAAGTGTCAGATGGTCGCGTTTTCAATTTATGTACTGTAACCTTCCTAAACACGTTAAACGGAATAGAAAGAACATTTTGAATTGTGGGAGTGACATCTGGAATCTAGAAAAGGATTTGAAAGGAAATTAAAAAGGAGTCAAGCAGCAAAAGTCTGTGAGAGCCTGAGGTCAAGGAAAACTAAATGTAAGTGTGTTTGATAACAACGAAGACCAACAAGCAAAGTTAACGGGTAAAAAATTCCTTATTAAATGGTACCAGCAGATGTGTTTGGACAAGAATCTGCATAGCTTTAACCCAAAGTGTAAACAAAAGGTATATAATTAATATTTTTGGATAATGCTGGTGGGCATAAAGCATAAGAAGTGGAAAAGAAAAAAAGAAGGCAAGCGGGAGAAAAAAAGCAGCAGCAGGGAAAAGAAGAAGTTAAAAAAATAAAGAAAATACATGGGCCAGAAGTACTCACCTGAAAATGCCTCTGGTTCCTAACCCTGTCCCAGACTTCAGAACAATGGCTGCCACCTGAGCAAATCTCATTTCTTTTGTCTTTTTCTCTTTTGAGATGGAGTTGTTGCCCAGGCTGGAGTGCTGTGGTACAGTCTTGGCTCACTGCAACCTCAGCCTGCCCGGTTCAAGCGATTCTCCTGCCTCAGGCCCCTGAGTAGCTGGGATTACAGGCGTACACCACCACACCTGGCTAATTTTTTTGTATTTTTAGTAGAGACGGGGTTTCATCATGTTGGCCAGGTTGGTCTCAAACTCCTACCTCAGGTTATTCACACAGATTGACCTCCCAAAGTGCTGGGATTACAGGCTAGAGCCAACGTGCCTGGCCCAAACTTCATTTTTTAAGCCTACAACTTGTTTTAGGCCTTCAGTAAATATTCAACTATCAGCCTGCAAGTAAGCACTGACCTCTATAGTTTGGGCTTTTATGAAATAAGGGCGAGACTAAAGAAGAAATTACCAAGCTATCCACTGACGCCCCGCCCCTAAAAAGGGTAAGAAAAGCTCTCATAGTTTCTCCTTCTAATACCCTTTTTTCATAACCATGCAGCTGTGCTGTGGATGGGAGGTCTGTATGTGCCAGAGTATGTGCTGAGAAAATCCCCATTGGACTGTTAAATTTTATTAACGCACAATATCGTAATTATCCGAGATGGTAAATCTGTAGGGTTGAAATCTGGAGATAAGATCCCTGGTGTGGCTGCTTTCAGGATCAAACCGTAGAGCAACAGAACTTGTTCTCAAGGCCTGTGGAGTCTAAACATAAACTTGATCTGTTGAAGACGTTTATCTTGCATATTGAACTGTTAATCATAAACATGGCCAAAATTCAAGGCCCATATCTGACAAATTTCACAGGGCTAACGAAGGGACAAAACGTTTGAGAACCCCTGAGAAGTCCAACATGCCTGAGGATGTTGAGAAACTAGATTTCTGTAAAAGAAGAGCCTGTGTGTACCTACAATGTATGTTTTAAAGAGAAAAGAAAAGGTCGGTACTTTTTAGAAAAGCGAAGACCAGCTGTTAAATACTTTATTGTCAACCTTTTGTCATATATTCAGGCTATGTAAGCACTGAGAAGTCATTTTCTAACTTGCTATAAACGTCAGAGACTGGGATTATCCAGGGTTGTCCTTTTTTAAGGTTGGAAGTTAACACAGGAGCCCTCCCAAACCGGTCTAGATTGCGTTTCTTCAGGAAGAGGGCTGGCATAGAATCTTTATAAGGTGTTATTTCATTAAAATGTAACCTCTGCAGTGGTATCTGCATTTCAACCAGGGAAATTTCAGTGTAGCTAGTGGTATAATTTAAAACTCGAACAGCAAAATTAAGCAGATATTTTTAGCCAAGGTGCCACTATCCTCACTCCATGGATCCCACTGTATTTGAAGCAGCGTAATAACCTAAGTAAGCCATTTCTTTTTCTTTTTGAGACAGAGTCTCGCTTAGTCACCAGGCTGGAGTGCAGTGGTGTGATCTTGGCTCAATGTAATCTCTGCCTCCCGGGTTCAAGCAATTCTCCTGCTTCAGCCTCCTGAGTAGCTGGGATTATACACACCTGCCATCACACCCAGCTAATTTTTGTATTTTTAGTAGAGATGGAGTTTCACCATGGTGGCCAGGATGGTCTCAATCTCTTGACCTCGTGATCCACCCGCCTCGGCCTCCCAAAGTGCTGGGATTACAGGTGTGAGCCACCGCGCCCGGCCTAAGTAAGCTATTTCTAACATAACGAAATGCATTTTTTTCCAGTTACAGAAGCTAAATCTTAAGTGAGTGCTCTCTGACTTTTACCTGAATTTCATTGAGGAATGTTTGGTCATGGCTTTTAAAAATTTTAGTTCCTTTGATTACCTTCTTATTTTATAGTCCTTTCAAGAGAAAATTGAGCTGGCAGTGTTTTCTTCCTCCAGGGCGCATTGCTGCTATTTCTTGGCTCATCTCATTAAGACCTAGTACAGTCCCAAACACACAGTGTCATAGAATTTGCTCAGCTGTGACCAGGTGTCTCCAATTCTGTTCCATAGTAGCTGAAACTAAAAACTTCATTTTTTCCTCAACATCTGCTCCATACTGTTTTTTCATGGTTATTATAGCAGTAAAAAAAATTCTTCAAAGGTGTATTAGCTAAAACAACAAAAGCACAAGGGACAAATGAAAAAAACAGATAAGTTGGACTTTATTAAACATTTTTGTGCTGCAAAGGATACCGCCAAGAAAGTGAAAGAACAGAATGGGGGAGATTATTTGCAAATTATCTATCTGACAGGGAACCTGTATCTAGAATAAATAAATTCTACACCTCAATCATTTAAGAAACTTTTTTTTAAATTAAAAATGGGCAAAAGGCTGGGCTTGGTGGCTCATGCCTATAATCCCAACACTTTGGGAAGCTGAGGTAGGTGGATCACTTGAGGTCAGGAGTTTGAGACCAGCCTGGCCAACACGGTGAAACCTGTCTCTATTAAAAATACAAAAATCATCTGGGAATGGTGGTGGGGGCCTGTGGTCCCAGCTACTCAGGAGGCTGAGGCAGTAGAATTGCTTGAACCCAGGAGGTGGAGGTTGCAGTCAGCTGAGATCGTGCCATGGCACTCCAGCCTGGGCAACAGTGTGAGACTGTGTCTCAATAAATAAATAAATAAATAAAAATGGGCAAAAGATCTGAATAAATATTTCCCCAAAGAAGATATTAGAATGGTCAATAATCACATGAAAAGATGCTCAACATCATTAATCATTGAGTAAAAGAAAATCAAAACCACCATGACACCAGGCACAGTGGCTCACTCCTGTAATCCCAGCACTTTGGGAGGCCAAGGCAGGCAGATCACCTAAGGTCAGGAGTTCGAGGCCAGCCTGACCAACATGGAGAAACCCTGTATCTACTAAAAATACAAAATTAGCCGGATGTAGTGGCTCATGGCTGTAGTCCCAGCTACTCAGGAGGCTGAGGCAGGAGAATTGCTTGAACCTGGCAGATGGAGGTTGTGGTGAGCCAAGATTGAGCCACTGTACTCCAGACTGGGCATCAAGAGCAAAACTCTGTCTCAAAAAAAAAAAAAAAAAAAAAAAACCAAAAAATTAAAAAAAAAAACCCACCACCATGACATACTTCTTCATACCCACAAGGATGGTAATACTAAAAAAGACAACATAACAGGATTGTGGAGAAATCAGAACCCTCATACACTGCTAGTGGAAATGTAAGATGGTGCAACGGACTTGGAAAACATCTGGCAGTTTCTTACACGGCAAAAGATAGAGTTAACATATATGCCAGTAATTCCGCTCCCGCATATATATCAAGAGAATTAAAAACATCTACGCAAAAGCTTTTAAATGAACGTTCACAGCAGCATTACTTATAACAGCCAAAAGGCAGAAACGAACCAAATGTTCATCAATTGATGACTAAAGAAAATACAGAATATTCGTACAATGCAATGTTATTCCACAACAAAAAGGAATTAAGTACTGATATATGCTACAACATGAACCTTGAAAACGTTATGCTAAGTGATGAAGCCAGTCGCGAAGGACTACATCATGACTTCGTTTATATGAAATTTCAGAAAAGGCAAATCTTTAAACAGAACACAAATTAGAAAGAAGTGACTGCTAATGGGTACAGAATTTCTTCTTGGGGTGATAATGTGATGAATATATAAAAACCACTGGATTGTACACTTGAAGTAGGGAAATATGGCATGTGAATTATATTTCAAGAAAGCTGCTTTTTAAAACATTCTTCCATGAAGCTGATCATGGATACAAGTCAGGGCAAGGTCAAGAACGTATGAGCCGCTGGGCGTGGTGGCTCACGGCCTGTAATCCCAACACTCTGGGAGGCTGAGGCAGGTGGGCCACCTAAAGATCATACTAGCTCGTATGTCTCACTTTTTTTTTTTTTTTTTTTTTTGATGGAGTCTCGCTCTGTCGCCGAGGCTGAAGTGCAATGGAGCGATCTCAGCCCACTGCAATGTGTCTCGCAGCTTCAGGCAATTCTCCTGCCTCACCCTTTCGAGTAGCTGGGCCGCAGGCGCCTGCCACCATGCCCGGCTGATTGTTTTATGTTTACTAGAGACGAGGTTTCAGCGTGTTGGCCAGGCTGCTCTCGGACTCCTGACTTCAGTGATCCGCCCTCCTTGGCCTCCGAAAGGGCTGGGATTACAGGCGTGAGCCACCCGTGCTCGGCCTAATTTTTAAAATCTTTCATTTTAAAACCAATGCCATAAACTACATGAAGTTTTTTAGTTTGACCCACGTGAGTTTTCCACAGCTACATCATTTTGAAAACAAATCTGCAAAGCACGAGCAAAATGCAAGCTTTACCTCCCGAGATCAGAAACTGTTTGGAAACCTCGGGACTCTCATCCTTTGGTTCTGAACAACTCACACTGGAGCGTGGGTGCCGGTTATTCTTTTGGTTCATTTTCTCAGCTCGCTGGCAGAAACAGTGTTATTACAGCTGATGTACTTTGATTTCACCAAGTGAAAAGTAGTCACTGGGATCCCAATGGACTTCTAAACTCTCAGCAGAGATACCGGTATTGCTTACGTGGAGTACTGACCTTTGCTAAGTACTTACATAACTGTGTTTTAATGAGCACAGTAGAGCTCTGAGAAATGGACTCGATGCTCTTTGGTGCCAAGGACGTGCGATTCGGGAGCAAACGTTCTCATGAAGACAGAACCACACATGGGGCAGGCTGGGTCTGTTAGGTCTGAGGTCTTGAGGAATCCTAACAAATTATGTTGACAGTAGGGGGCAAAAATGCACGAGTCAGACTGGGCTGCGCCTCTCCAAACCCACAGCAGCACCGTCTGAACAGCGTCTTTGACCTTGTTCGAAGCTTGAGGACCGCCCTCCCTGCCTGCGCACGTGGCGGGGTGGGGACAGAGGAAAGGGGCACTAACGTGAAACATGGGCTCCAGCACGTCGCTTAAATTCCAGGGGTCGAAGTGAGTTCCAGGCTGCAAGATACCCCGGGGCCGACCCCCCGAAGGGCTAATGATTGTAAGAATCGAAATAAAAATCTTCCAGTCTTCCAACATCTTTCCTTTTCCTTCTGCCCTCGCCCACTCTCCGCCCACTTCCCCGGCTCTGGCCCGCCCAGCTCGCTGCTTCGGCTCCTTCCCGCGCCCAGCCTTACTCTGAGAAGCTGACGAGACTCGGAAGTGCGCCTCCATCCGGGTGTTTTGTTGAGGAGGGCAGAGGGCGTGCGTTTATGATGTCATCAGGGCGGGGCGAAGAGCCAACTCCGGAGGCTGGAACTTCCTGAAGAAGAGGGGGCCGAAGGAGTGGCGGGGGGACCCTTTCCACGCCCCTCGAAAATTCCATACAGGAGAAGAGAGGAGTGTTAACTCTCAAACTCCCGTTTGAGGCGAGATTGCTGAAACGGAAACGTTAACTTCAAAGACTCAACTTTTAAAACACTTGTTACTATTCTCTCCTCTTAATCTGTTTTTCCCTTTTTTGGTAACCTTGAAAACTTTCCTATCTCCAATCCTTTCTCCCCCTTTGATCCTGCGCAAATGGTGAGGTCCCGCAGACGCGCAGTCGCAGTCACAGTCGAACCGGGGCGGTGCCGGTGAGAGGCGGGTGACGCAGCGGCCGTCGCTGCCATTTTAAGTTGTTTGTTCTCGCTTCTTTTCTCAAACGCGACTCTGCCCCGGACCCGGGAGGCGCCCGAGGCCGTCGCCGCTTCTGCAGCCATCGGTGGGGGGGGGACGAGGCGTTATCGCCGCGGACGCTCAACAACCGCTTCGGCTATTCCCCCCTCCCGGTCCCCTCGACCTTTCCTGAGAGCCGGAATCCGATTGTAGGGGGAAGAAAGACTCGAGAGCAGATGCTTGAACTGAAATAACTTTATTTTGGGGGGTTTACTTCGCTGATCCTTAGCGCAGGGCTTCCTTTCCTTTCCCCCTCAGCCGCCAGTACCAATCCAACTCCCCATCCTTCTCCTCGTTTTTCCTCTTTTTTTCTTTTTCTTTCACTGTCGCCGCTGTCTCCGCGTCCTTCCCCTCCGTCGCCGCCCGGGGCGCCGAGCCAGACTATGGGTCCCAGGTGGGGGCTGAGCGGCGGCAGCAGCGCGGGCGGCCCGGTCACAGTGCGCACTGCAGCGGGGATGGCGGGGCTCAGTTGGCTGGTGGTTTTCTCTTGACATGGCTCCTGCCAGTGCTGCGAGCAGCGCCCCCGCCGCCGCCTCCTCTTTCGCCGCCGCCGCCGCCGCCGCCACCGCTCCGCCCGCAGGCTGCGGCTAGAGGGCCCAAACCCCGCCCGAGAGTCGGTCCGTGAGTCCCGGGCTCCGCGGGGACGGGGAGGGGATTTACCCGTCACCTACCCCGCCCTAGCTGCCTCAATTCCATCCCCTGCCCCTCGGGAAACAAACTAACAACCCCACCCTAAACAATCCAAACTTTGGAAACATGGTCTGTTTAACGTGAGAGAGCTAATCCGGGAACTTAATTTTTTGGGGGGAGGGTGGGTGGGCTTACTTCAGAAGTAATATTAACACGGTTATTTTCTTTTTTTCCCACTCATCCTTCCCATTTACCCTCTCCCGCCTACTCCACCCGGGCGGGAATTGTTTCCACGATGAAATGAGTGAAAACCTGAGTGATCCTGTGTCTCCCGTGGTGCGAGTGAGTCGCTGCCGCTGAAGGCAAGGGGCGGGGGTGGGACCTGGGGGTGGAAGGCAGGTGGTCTCTGGGCACCGCCTGGGATTTGGGAGAAGAACCCGCCACCTTTGCCTCAGCAATGCTCAGCAAAAGATAATTCGCACTCCCCACCATCTTGAACTGGGGCAAATCCACAGGGAAGTCTCCCTTGGGGAATGTAGGGCTAGTTGCAGGGCTGGGGTGTTGGGAACCCGGGCATTAATCAGGTCTAACCACAGAGCCGGAATAATTAATACCGTATTATATACCCCTTTTCCCTCTGCCATCATGATTCTCCTTGGCAGCAGCGTTAGCAGCCGCCTGAGGGTGAAAATGTGGGTGATGGGGAAGTTGGTAATGACTCCGCTGTTTTTTCTCCTGGCTCTTTTGGGCAGCAGCTGCCCGCCCCCGGTATACACTGTAGTTGATTGCAGGGAAACCCTGTACCTCTCCCTTTCCTTCTCTACCGGTTTTGCACTTTTCTCTATGCTCACCACCAAGTGTAATCAATAACAAGCACTGACAATACATAGCAATAGTGAAATCTGAAATAACTAAGAATTAATTAGGTACTACAGCCATGGAGCTGGCTGGGTGAGATCTAATTGGATATTTCAGTTTCATTCACCTACCCTGTTTTGGTGTTTGGTTTGGTTTTGGTTTTGGTGGTTTTTCCTTTTTTTCCTTTGGAAAGCAAGGATCACCCTTCCTCCTCCCTGTTCCTTTTCTTAATCCCTTTTCTAAAAAGGGGGGAAAATCCGGATGGATTTTAGGGATTGGTCTGGTGTCAGCTGTGTTTTATTGCACACCTAAATCCTGATAATAGGCTTTTCATTTCTCCGCAAAGCCTTTATTTTGGCAGTTAAGCCAAATGTGTTTTCCAGAAAGTTAGTTCAAGTATTTTCTCCTCTTTTTTTCCTTTCTCCCCTCCGTTTTTCCCCTGCTAACCCCAAACGTTATTGTCCAAACATGACTGGACAGCAGCTTTTGTTTCTCGACCCTGTAATATGACAGTCTGCTAATATTGCCAGAAGGTGCAGGTTCTGGGTTACAGTCGTGATTTTCGCTATTCAATCATATTAGCAGGAAAAAAAAATGACTTGTTTCTGTTGTACTTGAGTCTTAAGAAAAAGTGCCCATAGTTTAGTGACAATTTCCAAAGGCTTTAGTACCACCTCTATTTCAAAATGGGGGACCCAAACTCCCGGAAGAAACAAGCTCTGAACAGACTACGTGCTCAGCTTAGAAAGAAAAAAGAATCTCTAGCTGACCAGTTTGACTTCAAGATGTATATTGCCTTTGTATTCAAGGAGAAGGTAATTTAAAGTTCTAAATGATGAATTAGCACAAGTGATTTTTGTAAGTGTGTATTATATGTTACTCTTAAGTTAAAGGGGTGGAAAAAAGTCTGTTTTGTATGCTGTTTCTCACCCTTGGGGTGATTCTTTGAATTGAGCAGTTGCAGCATAACTGAAAAAAAGCTCCTTGAGCGTTCATTGGTTTGGAAGTACTTGAGTCTGAAACTTAGTAGTACTATACACTTTGAGTTGACATGGGGTGGGCAGCATTATAAAATTTTATATGGAGTTAACATAGGAAACCTTACGATGTAATTTAAATATTACCTAATGTAGAGTATAAATAAGATGCTTGAAAGTTTTAAATTGTATTCATACTGTTTATATGCTAAAGTTAGCCTGTTTCTTAAACTTTATGATGTAGGTAACCTTTTCTCATAAGCATTTAATGAAGTATAACACATCTTAACTTTGAGGAGCAATTAAATACTGAAATGGTTAATTTGTGTTAGAAGTGTGATTTTTTTTTTTTGTTTCTTTTCTACTTCGAGTTCATTTTGGCTTGTATAGAACTGCAGTTTTGAAAAATTCAAAGTGACTTAGAAGAAGTTTCATTTTTGGGGGTAGTGGAGGTCTTAATTAGAATTAGTTCCACAAATAGCAGACACTGAGTTGTGAATAATTAAGGATGGAATGATAAAAACAGTATTTTTCGCGACTTAAAAGGAACGTTTTTAAAAATTATCAACAAGGCTTATTTGATCTGAGATGAGGTTATAAATATAGTGAAATACTACTTGGATTTTGGTGCTTAAATCGTGAGCTAATTTCAGATCAGAAATAAAATCTTAGCGTGGTATCTGTTTAGTATTTGGAAGTTTTCCAGATTGTTCTCTACTGTTAACTCTTTTATTTACTTATTTTTGTAGTTGAGATGGGCCTCACTGTGTTGCCCAGGCTGGTCTTGAACTCCTGGCCTTAAGTGATCCTCCTGCCATGGCCTTCTAAAGTGCTGGGATTACAGGCAGGAGCCGCCATGCGTGGCCCCAGCTCTTAACTCTTTAAGGTTATTTGTAGTTCCGAGCTTTCTTAGCTGCTGAAGTACATTGTAAAGTGATTTTAAAGTACTTTTTGAAGTGACTTTCCCAAGATTGGGTGGTATCAAGGATTTATACCCCCCACTTTTTTGTTTTGTTTTGTTCTCTTGACAAGCTAAATTGATGAGATTGAATTTTAGTTGAAGATGATATCGTGTATGCTCTTTAAATAAATCGAAGATATAAGTGGTGAGACCGGATATTTGTATTTAACGTGTAAATTGCACCAACTAATTCTTGAACACTGAAGATAATCTGGTTTTAGTCTGTGAATGGACATTGTCCTTGCAGCTCCTCTGAATTGTTCATGATATATACTTAATAGTATAGAATTGAGGCCGGGCGCAGTGGCTCAAGCCTGTAATCCCAGCACTTTGGGAGGCTGAGGCGGGTGGATCACGAGGTCAAGAGATTGAGACCATCCTGGTCAACATGATGAAACCCCGTCTCTACTAAAAATACAAAAAATTAGCTGGGCACGGTGGTGCGTGCCTGTAATCGCAGCTACTCAGGAGGCTGAGGCAGGAGAATTGCCTGAACCCAGGAGGCGGAGGTTGCGGTGAGCCGAGATTGCGCCATTGCACTCCAGCCTGGATAACAGGAGCAAAACTCCATCTCAAAAAAAAAAAAATAGTATAGAATTTTTAAAGGTAGGTTTGTGATGAGTACTTGGTCTTGACTGTTCAAAGAGAACTTGTATATATATATTTTTTTTTTCAGTCTTTCAAATATTGATGGTTTTGGCCGGGTGAAGTGGCTCACGCCTGTTATCCCAGCTCTTTGGGAGGCTAAGGCAGGCAGATCACTTGAGGTCAGGAGTTTGAGAGGCCAACAGGGTGAAACCCCGTCTCTATTAAAAATACAAAAATTCCCCAGGTGTGGTGGCACAGGCCTGTAATTCCAGCTACACGGGAGGCTGAGGCAGAAGAATTCCTTGAACCCGGGAGGCAGAGGTTGCAGTGAGCCAAGATGACGCCACTACCTGGGCAACACAGCGAGGCTCCATCTCAAAATCTATATAGATACAGATGGTTTTGATTATATAGTATCCAGAAAGTAATGGAAATTGATCCATGTAAGGAATAAAACAA